AATATGATATTTTGGAAAACATTAGTAACATTGAAAAGTACTGTGCACTTGACCCAACATGTCTATAACTTCTGTAACATCTTTTGAACACATGTTTTGACTTCAAAACAGTTATTGATGAACTAAAACACTAGCCTCAAAATAAAATAATTAGAATTGTATATAAAGGGATACACAGAATGCATGAGGAGACTAGCAACATGGAGGGGACTGTGCAGTGGGAGAAAAGTGAGAACTCTGGAGGTCGTGTTAGATGTTGTGCTAGAACAATAGTGCGACAAAGCAGAGCCTGTAAATCCATAGACGAAGTTCTTGTGCTCGGTCCACTTTTCCCTGACCCTGGCCGCAGAGCTCGGATTTAAACAAAAGGAATAAAAATAGTACCATGGAAATATATCTGAGCTGTGTGGAGGATGTGGTACCTATTCAATTATTTTTCGAGCCAAATATTGGAAAACATTGTTGGGAAAATGTGAAGTTGTGCCTTTTTCTGTGTCTTTTTTGGACACATTCAGTCAATCTTCAAAACTGTCACATAACTACTAACAGTTGTATGTTCAGATTTTAGCTATTAACAGTTGTATGTTCAGATTTTAGCTATTAACAGTTGTATGTTCAGATAAGTCATTTCAAAGTAATAAAAAGTACAAAAGTAATATATTTCATTGTCTTTACAGCACTTCCCCCTTTTTTTTTAATCTGGAAACTTTGCAATTTCCACCTGTTTGTTTTCAGAATAAAAACTAACTTTCTCGCATACATGTCTCATTATGCAAATGATTGGCAGAATGATGAATACACTTTCGTGTAGCATCTCTGCCAGTTCATCTGCTATTAATTTGCCATCTTCTCAAACAATTACTGGCTATGGCTATCATGTTGTTATTTACTGTACTAAATGGAGCACTTGAATTTTTCCTTTGAAGGTGAACTACTGTATTCATTAAATTGTTTGAAGTGCTATTGATTGGGGTAAAATATTTTGCCGTGCTCTTGCAAATGCATTACAGATCTACATTTCATATAAATCAGTAATGCATTTCTAAAAGCAAATGCAAAACTTAAAGGCTGCAGACTTCATGTTTAATAGGCAAAAGAGAGCTCATTGTGTATTCTTACTTTATTGTACTCAAATAAATTGAAAGATTTATTTAAAATATTTTACCTAGACAGACTATATCTGAACTATTTGTACAAATTTATTTTACTGTCTTATATGCTGTGTTGTTAGCATTACGGCGATTTCTATATACCTGTAACTACAATCAGCTGTCATTTTGACTGCTTGTTCCGAATAGAATCATTTCATATCGTATGAAATTAATGCTTACAACAATACATTTTGCTTGTTTAATAAGTAAATTGAGTAAATACATGGAACCTAAAGATTAGTTAACCTAACAAAGTGCAAAATAAAGTAAGATGAGTAAATATATTGATCTAAGGGTAATTTAATATAACAAAGAGTTAAAAGAGAAAAAAAAAATCAGTCTAGATATTTATAAACTTATTAACATTCAATAAATTGCTTCATAAAAATTTTCAATATGAAATAAATATACAGTACAAAGTCTTTAATCCGGATGTCCATAATCCAGAATGATCTATAATCCGGACCTCAAAGCTACAAATTTTCTGCACATGCGCATATGCATTTAATGCATAACGGATGTTATAAGCTAGGCTAAAATTATCTAATTATCTATTTCAGTTAATGCTGCAGATTCTGTTGTTCCTTAATCTTCTAATTGGATCCGGCTTATTTTTTGCAGACTGTTAGAGCAATTTTAAAAGAAGTAAGCTTAAACTTTCGATTATGTCAAAAAGAGTTTCCGATTCTGGACCTGCCAAAGGATGCACAAAGCGAAAGCATGTTTCGATGTCCATCTACTAAAAATTACAGTATACAAAACAAAAACAGTAAACAAAAAGTGGATTTGCTGCAAAAAATAGATAAAGGCATGAAGAAAGTGACAGAGAGGTTAGTGAAAGCGAAAAAATTTCGATTGACAAGTTAGTCGGTATTCTCGGCACAGCAATTACAGGATTTGAACAGTGGAAATTTGTAACTGAACAAGAAATTATGTCTGTTCATAGAATTAAAGAGAAAGTATTAGAACATAAAACGAAGCAACTTAACCTACATTGAAAGAAATGTTTAATAAAGTAAACAAATATTTTTTTTTTTTTTTAAATTGTGATACCCTTTAGATCATAATTGCTTTTTATTTCAGAAATTACGATTTCATATTTTTAATTTTATAATTTCTGCATGCCATCTTACCAGATTTAAATTGATGATATATAATCCGGAATCGCCAAAGTCCCGACGAGTCTGGATAAAGACTTTGTACTGTATTAAAAATTATACATATTGGTACCTGCATTGCTTAGTTTTGTAGTGCATGCAGATTACTAATTTTTTTAATTCTACCTGTACAGGCTTCACAAACATATTTTTACTGTATTGAAAGTTTTGTTGCCTCTGCATACATTTATTTGGCATTGTTTACACTTACAGGAAGGGTTGATGCAAGTATCTGTTCTCTTCATCAGATACAGAAAGTTCGTGAATTTGAATGAAATGTACATCTTTTGAAGCTTCTCAGCTGTATTCAAAATAAAATCATGTTGACTAATGTTCTTGTGTTCAGTTGTTTCCTTGTAAATTATCCATCCATTTATTGTGGCCAAATCAAGAGTATTACAAAAAAAGAAAAGAAAAAGAAACTTGGATCTGGTGAATGTCTAGAAGAGGACTTCACTGATTATTTTCTGGCCATCTGGTCCAAAACATCAATTCCATATTTCGTCGAATAGTAAAAATTCACACCTTCCAGTATCCTTTTTCATCAGATGCAATTTCCAATACTCAGGAGGATGACCTTCTTTTTCCCCTTGATAAGACATGTTATATTATCATGTTTAGCAATCTTACTAGAATAGAGCTCATCCGTCATATTTTTGAACTTCTCTTTTTGAACAATTTATTGTGCCAACACAGCGTATCCCTGAACTCCTCATTTCTTTTACTAATTTCAGCGAAGCAAAAAAAATTTGCCATTGTCCAGTTTCTTCCAGTATTGTAGTAAGGTTCCATCAAGCGAAAAGCTGCATGTTCACCTACTGTTTCTCCAGCTGGTTTTCTTTTGTCTTTTCCCAAAAAGGGAAATCGGTTTAGTAAATATTTTGACTGCACATCAGTAGCAAGATAGAGTAAATTGGCGTCAGGTCTTTATGGGAAATGATAGTTCATCCACTGTTATATTTTTGCCCAGTTTATAACATTTCAAGCAGTTTTCTATAAAAGTATTCCAAATATCCAAAAGAAGGGCAAATGAATCAGTTTGCAGTCTTTGGGATCTAGTTGATTTCGTATCAAAGCACAAATATTTCATAATTTCAGAAATCTGTCCCTAGCCATAGTCTCAGTGAAAATTGCCAGGCCCCAGGATTTTAACCATAGCCTCAAAATAGAAAGACCTTTTGCAGCTAAAGCTCCACAAACGCACAATAGTGAAATGAAAGTGTGTTAATTCATTGGGTGGCAAACTCCAATTTGGATGAGATTTCTTGTATGCCATTTTTTCAGTGCACTGCTGAATGTGATGCAATATGTTTTTGTTGATAAACAATCTCCATTCACTACTTGAGTTACCATCAATTATTTTTCTCTTTAGTGTACGAAATTGGCCCAGCTACTTCTCTTAAGACATTCTGCTGAAGACGTCTCCCTGTAACACTTTTCAAAATATTTGCTCTTTTACAAATTGAACCATCATTCACTATTTCTTCATAATTTTTGAATTTCCATACTTTGGATACATCTTCTTCGTTCTCGAGTTCTGTTTTGTTGCCTTTGACTACATTCGCAAGCTCGACTACTGCCGTTGATTTCACTTCTGGAAACAATACTAGTGGAAGGCAATGTAATATTTTCTTGATCTAAATTTTTGCTTTACTTTTCTGTTTTGTGAACAGATTCTCCATCAGACGAATCAGATTCACAATCCTCATCGGATAAATTGGATGTAGTTTTGGCATGAAATTCTTCATCAGGTTTAGTTTCTGAAGCAGAACCTCCTGTATAAAGGCATCTCTTAGGCAAATAGCTACTGCATGCTTTGTTTTGCTTAATTATTTAACCTAATAACCAACTTTCATTTTCAAATATACAAATGCAATGATATTTTGAAATCAATTAATTAAATTAAATTCTAATCATATTCCTTAATAATGTGTTGGCGATTCTCTACCTAGATTGCATCCCTGTTCCTAAATTTTGGCAAAAATCCTTTCTTTCTTATAAATTATATTAACCTGTTGGCGCCCGTCAAATCGCCAAACTCATAAATCTGTCATATTACATAAAGTCCTTAAGAACACTCCTGATGAGATGATAGCGTCGTGATCTCAATTAATACTGCTGATTGGATGAGCACCATGACGCACATATTTCTATAAATAGGGCGTCTCCTTGATGTACAGGAGAAACGCTGGGGAGATGGATGCTAAAATAAACGTATCACTTTATATTCGAAAATTTTTCTCATTCCTCTTGCCCCGTCTGCACAATACCAATAATGTATGGGAATATATATTTCATATATATATATATGCTTGCTACACTGTGTGTATTTAAGTGTTTGATATGTATATAGTTAAATTATTATTGATGCTATTCATGTTTACCAGTCAGAATGCAAAATTCTACAATTTTCTGGCATACTGGAACTTATCAAAATGACTTTTGGTGACTTCTCATGATTAGCAAGAAAGCCTTTCTCATAATGTGCTGCTAATGAAATTATATTGAAATACCTAATTTTGGAAATCATTGTGCTACTAAGCAGAAAGCACTGAAATATCTAATATTGAAAATCAGAATCAAATCTGAAACTGGAACTTGATCATTAATAGCAAATTTAGGGTTACATTTAATATATTTAATTTGTGTGAAATATATGTTTTGATAATGGTGTTATTTTTAATTGTTGTAGCCGCAGTTCAAGCATTAAGGTACTCATCCAAAAAAGAGGAAACAGATGAAGAATTTGATGCCCGGTATGAAGCTTACTTTAATAGACCAGAAATTGATGAATGGGAAATTCGTAAAGCCATGAATGATCTGCAGGCAATGGATTTAGTTCCAGAACCTAAAATCATCATAGCAGCCCTTAAAGCTTGTAGAAGATTAAATGATTATGCACTTGCTGTTAGATTTTTAGAAGGTGTAAAGGTGAGTTAAAATCTTTTATTATTAGCATATATTAATTTTTATGAAAAGGTGTTCAATGAGAAAAATGCTGTACTAATTTTAGCTTTTAATCGATGAAAGGCTAATGTTCCTTTTTTGAGGACGTATATATTTAATGGCTTTAAAACTATGGCAGTTGTTAATAGGTTGTTATTGTTTTACTCAGTGATTATTTATTATTATTCTTTACCTGTAACATAAAAATAGATGCAAAGCATTTACAAATTTGGATGCTAGATAGCCTCAAATTTGCACAATTTTGACATGATTCCTGATTACCTTCAGTATAAATATGGCAACAAATATTGATGAGTGTGTTAGTGAATTATCTTTAAAAAAAATGTCCAAACTCACCATTATTTTTTTATGTAAGCATTTTATTATTAGTAGCAAATATAATTACACAGTAAATGCATATATGTGTATGTAAGATATAAGAAAATACGATAGCTGCATTAAAACTAATTGGTGATCTCAAAATTAATGCTTCTAGATTTGGTGCTCAACCTCTAAATTCATCTGTTCTCCCAAATTCGAGATCCTTCTATAATTATGTAACAACTTAAAATTAACCAATCATGGCTTGTCTCTACAATTACATCAGATTTAATATAAATACTCTTGGCACAAAAAAACTAAGTCTTTCTTCTCCTAGCTACTGCCATGCCCCATCCATGCTGCTTTACTTTCCCATCTAAAATACCTGTGTCTTATTTTTAAAGAAAATCAATGTACATAGCAATGTTTCCTATTTAATTATGATTGAATAAGTGTCTGCTAAACTTAATTGGATATGTGTGAAAATAAAGATTGGTGATTTATTGAAATTCAAAGCCATGGACTGCTACTGAAAGCTGTAAAGAGTACCAGTGCCTCCTTTTATGCATTAAAAATAGGACAGCTTTAACTGTTGTCATAGATTTTGTCATAGAACTCAGGCAGTTGAATCCGTAATGAACAGCGAGAATTTTGATGTAGAATGCTGAAATGCTGATCCACACTGAATAAGAAATTTGGCAGTCAAGATGTATTTAATTCTTATTTCAGTAAACATGTTGGGGGCCACAATTAATTTTACACATCAATTGTGCCTATTCCAAAAAATTTACATTTTAGATAAATTTCCATTGAGAAAGAAGGAGCTGACAGAGTGCAGTGCAGCTAGGCCAAAGTGGCAAGTGTGTTATGTTCAGGGTGAAATCTTAATTCAGATTGAGTTAGTTTTGGTTCTCAATGCATTTCAATTGGATAGTTAATATTGCTGTAAAATTACTATTGGCTGTTTTAGTTCCATTTACATAATCAGAATTATGCAAGAATCATATATTAGTTTCAAAATGACACAGTGCAAATAGAAGTTACTATTTTTAGAATACAGAAGGGAATTTGCGCTGCTAATCTTTTACATATTCTTCCTCTTCAAGGAAAAAAAAGCATGGCAATAGAGAAGTCTTTTTAAAGAAAAAGCGGTAAGGCACTAGAAATGAAGAAAAACGTAAATCAATGAAATTTAATATATTAACTTTCATTTTAAAATGATTTAAGCAAAATATTACCATCAATAAATCATAAAACAACACAATTAGTAATAAATGCAAAATTACTTATAATGCAAAGTTTTTTTAAATGTACTTTAAGCAATTAAAAACTTTGGTTTTGGAACTTAACACTACTACTGATGACTTTTGATAATGTTCCATCCTCTGAATGAAAAGAACTGAAATTTCTGAAGAATTTGCAAAAGAATTGCTGAAAATGCAAAAGAACACAAAACACTATTTCATATTTCAAATTTCACTGTTAAGGATTGTTGAACTTCAAAGCACTCTGGACGTTTAATTTACTTTTATGTGAGAATCGGAAATGCATAAACATTGTGAATATTTGAAGTGAGCAAGAATTATTAAGCATATGTCTCTGCGACACTGAACAAAGAACCTTGATTCGAAACATATTTTCTTTTCTTTTAGATTTAACTTGCAGATGCTTGATGACTTTCAAAGCACTTTTGAATATGCCGTTAGAATCTCTCAGAAGATGTGCACTTTTTTCACTATGCGCAAACACGCAAAATCGCTTAACAAATGACATGCTTAACAATGCTGTCATATTTTTAATGGTTAGAAGAAGACTCTAGAATTCACTCGACACTAACAGCTTTTGGTAGCGGTAGCAGTCCATGGCTTATGGTTAAGGCATACAGATGAAGATAACTAGTTGGATTTCAGTAAATAACCAATCTTTCACACATATCCAATTAGTTTAGCAGATACTTATTAAATCATAATTAAATAGGAAACATTGCTATGTACATTGATTTTATTTAAAAATAAGATGCAGGTATTTTAGATGGTAAAGCAAAGCATTGTTGATGTTGGCATGCCGGAAGCTAGGAGAAGAATGATGTAATTTTTTGTGCCAAGAGTATTTATACTAAGTCTGATGTAATTGTAGAGACAAGCTATGATTGGTTAATCTTAGGTTGTTAACATAATATAGAGAGATCTCGAATTTGGGAGAACAGATGAATTTAGGGGGAGAGCACCAATTCTAGAATCGTTAATTTTGAGGTCACCAATTATTTTTAAAGCAGCTATCACATTTTCCTATATCTTACTAGTAGCAAATATAATTACACTGTAAACATATATAGATAGATAGATAGCAGATATGGTTATTATTAAGCATTAATTTGTATAGATCCCTTCTAAAGATTGCAAATGAGAAAAATCGACATTTTTCAAATAAACATCTTGTTTGAATCCCACTCTTTAATGGATTAAATATGAATAGAAATATCTTTATGTTGTTTTGTACTTAATTTTGTGACATTTCTTCTTCTTCTTCTTCTTCTTCTTCTTCTTTCCCCCCTTATAAGCTGATATATGAGTCATTCTTTCTTAACTTTTGTCCTTCTCTAATCACACCATAAGATGTTTATATCTCTTTGCCTCTTGGCCTTTTCACATTATGGATTAATGTCTTGTCGTTTATATGTTCCTTAGTCCATTTTTTAAATTTAATTTCTTCTGTTGCTCTTAACATGTGTGTGTGTGTGTGTATCTTTTCAATAGCTATCATTGCCTAGATATAATATCTTTTGTGGGAAACAGAATGTTCTTGCAAGAACTTGTCAATTTCTCCATGAAGCAAACTCAATTTGTTTACAGCCTGTGCTGAACTTATAGAGGAATCGGTGAGCAGACTTTCTAATCAATATAAAGAAAGATATTTTACATTTGAATTGAACAAATTACATGAAAGTTACTATGATCACTATACAAGCATTTTAAATTTTATAGAGAGTTCTGCAGGCATTTTGAGTGTACCTCATTTATGGTATGAAAACTGCATCATTTTCTGTTGTTAAAAAAACTGTTGTATTTTTCCCATTACAGAGCAGAACATGTCCCAAAAATTTTTTGTAGAAAGTTATAGGTACTAGCTTGATATTTCCAACAAGAGAACATACTTTTGTCCTACTTCATTTTGACTGTGATAATTTTTTTCTAAATCTTGGAAATATAATTCTTTAGTTAGTTATTTCAATAAACAAGGAGCAAAATAGAAGGGCATACTTTAAAGGCTTTTATTTGGTGATACTTTAAAAACAAGTGCACTGTTACAAGAGATAGATAAGAACAATGTTTCTAATTCAACGGGGGCCAGTAGGTAACACTAGTGCATATATATTTCTGTAGAAAATTGCTTTAGTTAGAATTTAATGCTTGTTAGTTTAGTAATAAAATTGCATTTTAAACAACTCTAAATATTTTATTGATACTAAATTTAAAAGACCACCCATATTTCAAAGGTAGTTTAATTCCATTTCTTTTTTTTTTTTTTTTTTTTTTTATGCAGGATAAATGTGGATCAAGAGTAAAGGAAATCTACCCTTACATTTTGCAAGAAATTCGACCAACTTTGGATGATTTAGGCATTTTGACCCCTGAAGAAATGGGCTATGATAAGCCAGAATTGTATTGTCCTGATGTGTTTGAAAAGCCTTTGTTTAGGTAAGGTTTTGTGGTATTTTGCATCAAGTGCTGACATAAAGCTTTTATTTTTTGTGCTTCATTATTATGATAAATAATTCTGTGTATATCTTATTTTATTATAATATTTCCTTAAATACCTATGTTATGATTTAGTTTTTATGATAGAAGCGAGGACCTTATTGTGTCCCTACATTGGCTGGTTATGAAGTGCTATGAGCAATCAATATGCACACTCCAAATGAGCTATGGTTTAATTAAATGAAGCTTTTGAAAATTTTAATTTTTATCTGTTTAATCAATTAATTATGAATCTAGCTGTACTAAAATGGACATCAATGATACATCTGCTTTTGAAGTGAGGACCAGGTAATTCATTATTTTGTATTAAAAGATAGTTTTATATTTACAATTTAATACTTAGTATGTATGTTTTGCCACATGAAAATATTTTTGCAACATAAAGAGTGATCTAAATCAGATTTCCCTGAAAATGCAGAAAGGTTTTATATAAAAATCAGTTAAAAATTAAAATTTTCAATATTTTAAAGGAATCACTTTTCTTCAGCAGACTGCATACTTTGCATGAATAAATTTTTTAGCTTCTTGCTGTAAAAGTAAAAAATTTGCTTCAATCATAGCTTTGTCACTTTTTGAATGTGAAGTAAAAGTTTAATTTTTGAATGTGAAGTTAAGTTTAATTTTTCAAACATTTCCAGATTTTTAGCTTTGCAATTTGCGTACTACTCGTTTTTTTTAAAAAATCTGTGCACTATCATGAATTGCATTGTTTATATTAAGTGTACATCATATGTTAAATTGAAAGTGGTGAAAAGCTAATGCCAAAACAGCAATTGACCAGTTTACTACTATTATTCATGTTGTTCTTTGCATCTAGCATTATTTTAGAAACTAACGTATCACATTTGTTATTATTGTTCTATCCATTTCAGTTTGATGCAGATTGGCAGTGTATGTCATATAAGATTGATCTGTCTTTTTATTAGAATAGATGTTCTGGAAGTTTTAGAATTCTGTAAAGTATGGGTGTATGTGGCTTTATTTGCAAACATATAATGACTATCATATAATGACTTAAGATGTTTAACTACCTTATTGGCTGTTTCTGCCAAATGCTTATCCTTAGGAGTTATCTGAGTTGGTAGGTTATCTATTACTTCTGCCTAATACTGCTTGTGTGGCACAAAAGACAACTTAGAAAGTAACAGTTAACTTTATTTCCTTTTTTGCTGGTTTCTCTTTAAAATAATATAACACAATGTCTTCTTGTCAAGAGCAGCATCATGAAACTTTACAGTATACTGTTAACTGGGTTACACTTCCAGTAAATCTATATGAAGCCTATATTAATTTATGTTTCTAAATCAGGTGATGGTGGTTCACAAAGTTTTAACACTTTTACATTTTTAACAATATTTTAATTCGCTATACACAGAATATATTTTTAGGCCGCCGCCTTCCACATAAACAAAAACTTTATTTTCTCACAACAAGGGAACATCAGCGCCCTCTAGCCTTTTTTTCCTTTCAAATTATATAACAATCCCCACCTGAACTCGGTGAAGAGTTCATCTTGTAATAATATATTCTAGAATATTCAGTTAATAGTTCGACAATCAATCCTAGAGAAATGGTTAAATATAACAAACGTGCATACATAATTATAAGCACATAAATTTTACAAAACATTAAATGATACCTATCAGCGTTTAGTCGGGAGAATCAAATCTAAAAATACGAAATACAAACATTAGTTAAGTTCCATATTGTATAACAATTGTATAGGCCTTTTTAAGGTACCAGTAGGTGTTTTAATTATGCAAGATCTTATTTTACCATCTCTGCCTGGCATTAATTCCAAAATTTTACCTATTGTCCAAGATTTCTGGGATGTTTGTCGTCATGAATCAAGACAATATCGTTGATTTTAAACTGAGATGCGTTAGAGTGTGGAGGACAAATATTGGCAGATCTCAGATTAAAAAGATACTACTGATCTCCAACGCTTCCAAAAATGATTTAAAATATCTTGATGGTATTTATATTGTTTAATAATTGAATTTCTTGATCCTATAAAATTATTTGATGTTATTTTATTAGGAGGCAGAAATAGTAATCATCTACCAACCAGAAAATGAGAAGGCTCATTGGGATCGCTAAACCCATAGGTAATTAGTCTACAATTAATCATTGCCTCGATTTCAATGAGCACTGTTTCAAGCTCTTTCACAGTAAGGGATGATCGACCAATAATTTTGCGCAAACTGGATTTTATGGTTTGTACCATACACTCCCAAAACCCTCCCCACCATAGACCCCTCAATAAGAAATTTCCAATTTATGCCTCTAGCAGAAAATAATTCTTTCACAGATAAGTCACTCAAAGTTTTAAAAATATGTTTTAGTTCTTTATCAGCTCTTTTAAAAGTCTTGGCATTATCGGAGTACACGGTGGTACACAGTCCTCGGCTCGGCGAGCTAAAAATCTTCGGAAAGCTAGCAAAAAACTTTCAGTGCTGAGATCAGTTACTATCTCTATATGTAAGGCACGAGTGACCGCACACGTTAACAACAGCATGTAAACTTTACCTTGCCTGTCTTTCGTAAAAAATGGACCGGCGAAGTCCAACCCGGTCACAGCAAATGGAGGAGACTTGGATTCTGTCTGGAGGAAGTGGAGCGATATCCTGTACCCCAGGACGAGCACTATATCGTCTGCATATCACGCATTTGCTGATGATGGTCTTAACACGCTGTCTTCCCTTAACCATTTCCCGTGGGCTGGAAAAACAGTTGTGTACCTTCACTGGGGGCCTTTTGGCTCAGCTGTTACGAAAGGGGACAATTCTCGAATCGAGCTTAACGACTAGGTGATTGTGCTCTTTTTCAGCATTCAGGAAACATCAGGGTTTCTTCAATCCAGTTCCAATGCTCTAGGCGTTAGAATGTGGATGTACTCGAATCGCTTTCACACTGCAGTTAGATGATGCAGTTTTCCTAAGGGAAAAAATATTATTTTATCTTCAGATGAAATGTATGTTTCACCTAGAAAATTTTGCTCTAAAAACGTGTTCCATTTTATGATTAATTTTTTTTTTTTTTTAAACTTGCACGTAGATTATGAACTAAAAAATAAGCGAAGCAATGAGAGTTAAATATAGTCACTTGGCATCGTAACGAAAATTCAGTGCTTTAAAATATTCAAACAATATATACATTTTCATTTTTAATAGTGTTATTATTTTGATATTGAAAAGCAAGTTAAATAGAATAATTTATTTATTCCAAGTGTCATTTAGAAAGCATTTCCGGATTCCCAAATGAGTGTTATTACGTTTACACCTCTATTAATATTCATTTCTGAAGAAATAGAAATTGGTCACTGCGTTTGTACAGAACTAAATTATTATTGAACACCTGCACTAACAAAAATTTACAATGCATGACTGCAGATTTTTCTTTTATTTATTTTGCTTCCACGTGGCTTTCCAAATAGCGGTCCCAGAATTGATCTGCCTTTACATCAGGAATATAAGATGTTTAATTTTTTTAACCACTTCATAGTTTTTTTTTTCAAGGAAGAAATGCAGGTGCAAACCCTGGAGCTTTAGAAAATAAAACCCTTGTTGAGTTTTAATGTATTCAGTAACAAACATTTAATTTGGTCACTCAGAGACATAAGAAATTACTTTTACCTTAGAACAAGCAAAAGGGGAACAGTTGTTCGATGATTACATTTTTTTAATGCAAAATTGCATATACGGGACAGCATTGAAATTGCAAAAAATAAACATCTTTGTCGAATGACGACATATTTCTTCGGTTTTTTTTTATGATATACTGGTATCGCTCGTTTCATTGTTATCAAACTGTTATGCGAAATTTTCAGATCTCCAGCTATTTACTGTTGTTTTCTTTGGGAGTAATGAAGCTGGGAATGAAGATTCGTACTGAGTTGATGAATATTAATGAAGATTCGCACTGAGGATTAAATTCAGGGAAATAAAATGTGGTACACATCTGAATTCCTATGCACGTGATTAGTACTCTTATATCTTGTTTGATTCCCTCCAAAATACAATTCTCATGTAAAATTAACTACTTTCTGAACACTATTAGTAACTGAGTGGTTAAGGCCGCTGAATGCTGGTAGTTCGACACGGGTTCGACGTCAGGCGATCGAGCTGGCCGCATGGTTTTCGTTGTTTCCCCCGTGTGAAATGTGAATATGAGCCAGTTTCCCCTAAAAGTTCTCCCCGAAGGCATCCTTTCCTTTGGGTAGGCAGCCTTTGTGTGCTTTACCACATTCAATTATGGTAAAGCACAAAATTAGTCAATTTTAATAACCTTTTTAATAATTAAATGAAGATTTCATTCAAAAGATTTTACAAAAGGAGTTACATACTTTTAATATAATAGAAGTAATGCGGGCATACTTGCAAGTGAAACAAACAAAAATAAAAGAAAGAAAAAGAAAACAATAAAATTACTTTTTGTAACAATCTCCAAGACATATGCCAACATTACAGATTTTACATGCAACCCAAGTTCTCACTTCTTTATGATTCTTGCTGCACAACAACGCACCGTCTCTCAAATTAGATTCACTGGCCAATGAAAGATGAGTGGTTGGAGAAATAATCGTAGGCAATTATTCCTATCACACGTTTGAAAAATTTGATTAATTAAATTCATGCGAAAACTTCTGTGATCCATCTTGTTTCTCTCTTTGAATAATATATACGCGTTTAAAACGACAATGTTTAAGAAATGGAAAAAGAGTTTTTTTGTCCATTTTTGAGACGAAAATCCGTAGGAATTGGCTATTCTGTCGCTGAGGTCGACATATCCCATATTTTTGTTATAATCACGAATGAGTGCAGGTTTTGAAGTTCTTTCGCAGTTATTCGTAACTGTGGAAGGAGTTCACTGTCTCGTTCATGCGTAAAGCTTAAAACATAAACTTCTCTTTTATCTTTCCAGCACGCAACAGTGAGGCC